TGGAGCAAATGGGTAATTCGATTACTGCCACTATAGGCCAACTGCCTCGGCGGCCTTCCCCCACGCGTCTGGCTGGGGGCAGAGAAACCATCTCTAAGGAATAATCAAATCAAGGCGAAGTGTGGAAAAACCCCTTCTGATTTCCAGGCGACGCAAATAGAATTAGAGCCTCCCGGTTGCTTTCTCTCTCCCCCCTCCCCTCTATTTTTTTTTTGTGTGTGTGTGTTTTGTTTTTGCCTTCCCAAAGGGCCCTTTTGTCTCCGCCACCAGCCCCGGCCCAGCCGGGATGCGCGGGGCGCGCAGGGGATGCGCGGGGATGCGCGGGGGATGCGCGGGGTGCCTCCTGCCAGCGGGGGCCGGGGAAAAAGGCTCTGCCCGTGTAAAAGCCACTTTTCTTTCCTCTTCTCCCCCTTTCAGAGGGGGCCGGGGTTGGGGGGAAGCCGGAGGAATGCTCGGAGGCAGCGAGACAAAACAGGGAACAGCGCGCCTTTGTGCGCCCGCCGCCGCCCATGGGAAAGCGGCCCCGAGCCGGCCCAGCGGCCTTTCCACGGCTCCTCGCGGTCACCCGTGGCCGCAGCAAGCCCTGGGCACCGGTGTGGGGTTCCCCTCGCTTGCCCTGCCCGGAGCTCCCCCGTGGGGAGGACGGCGAGCAGCCCCCCGTCGAGCAGCCCCATTTGGGATGGGGAGCGGCGCGGTTAGGGTCAGCTCCGAAACTCTCCCGGGGTTTTTCTCTCTTTTCGCTTCCCAGGGCCGGGCCGTGGCGTTCAGGCCGCCGCCAGCAGAGGGATCTGAGCCTTGCTTTTTTTTTTGTTGTTTCCCCCCCCAACACACACCCCTCCTCGCTGCTGCCTTGGCGGCGGCAACATCTGCTGGGCTGGAGGAGCCGGGCGCTCGAGCAGACGCACAGATGTAAAAGTGACATCTGCTTGTGACAAAGGAGCGGGAATTAGATTAGGCGGGGAGGCCTTTCTGCGATTAAAAAAAAAAAAAAAAAAAAAGCAAAATGCTAGCTGTGGACTGTGCAAGCAGGGAAGGGGATGTGAAAGGCAGCGATGCTCAGAGGGCAGCTGCTGGGACAGGCAGGGCAGCACGAGGGGCCTGGGGGCTGCAGCAGCCCGAAGAGAAGGATTGGTTTTCCCTCTTGGAGCCAAGATGTGGCCGAATCAAAGCTTTCTGTTGTTACGAGCAAAGGACTGCTCTATGCAGGAGACATCTTCCTCCAGCCCCTAACCTGCTCCTGGCATCGGCCAGCCAGTGAAGTGCGGATCCGGACACTTCTCTCCTTTGTTCCCCAGTGGAATACTGTGGGTATTTTGGTTAAAACCAAAAGCTACAAGGCCTGGCTGTTGCTTGTCTTACAAACTGCTATCTTTTAGCCCCATGAAAAGAAAGAAAGATAAAGAGCACAGCTCGAGGTTTGTGTGTGGTTGTGAGAGCAGAAACACGTAGCAAAGCTGTGCCTGTCTGCTCCGCTGCACCCAGGAGAGGCTCCACCTGCACTGCCCGACATGGCTCAGCAGGAAAAAAAAACACCCCTCACATTTCAGATAGTATAACCTTCACCTTCTGTTTTGTAAGCAATGATTTTTTCACTTACGTAAACATTGACAATGAATAGCATGCTTTCTTTTTTTTCCAACTCTGGCACTTTGTACATACAGAGGTACTTTTTGCCCTATGCAGAGCAGCACACAGGAGAAAGAGTAAGATCCTAGGAAGAGTAGGATGCTTCAAATTGTAGGAAAGATGTGCAGTTTTGCAAAGACAGAGAGTTAGGATGTGATGTTCTGTGCATGGGGACAGCCTGAGCAGCACCTCTTATAGGGCCTTGCCTCTAAGCTTGATGAAGTTGGTCAAAGCCTACTGGACCTTTTGAAGACTATGATTTTGGCAGAGCTTGGATTAGTGTTCAACAGCCTGCTGGGCTGCAGCTTTCCTGTGCAAGCTGATCATAAAAGTAGTTACATAGTTATGGAGTGTGATGCCTTTGTCAGAAACAGGGCTGAGAACTTGAAGGTAGGATCGCAGAAACTCAGAGACCTCCCATGAAATGTACAGAGTAAGTTGTAAGGAGAGAGACCACAGTGCAAATATCTTGAGAGAGAATTAAAGAAACCCTACTGGTAGTAAAAAATATATATATACTTCTTATCTTTACTATGTCCAGAAAGTGCCAATCCACCTATTTTCTTGTGAGTACAGAAGCACAGTGAAACATGCCATTAGTGATTCACATATAGAGGTCCATGTCACATACAATTGTAGATATATATTTGTGCTGTTTCATAAAAACCATGTGCATGAGTTTAAAAAATTCAAGTTTTTTTTTTTTCTGGTATTTGGTATTTCTGTATTTGCATCATCAGGTGATGGATACCAGCTGCAGCCTTTACTCTGCTGGTAGCTGGGCAGATTCACCAAGGGCAGGGTCCTTCTGTAGGGCCCCACTTCTTCTGTTCTTTCTCTAAGCAATGATCGCTGGCCATGACCAGACCTATGG